GACTCCTCTACACTGAACACCCCAACCTAACCTACACTGATGAGGTAAGAGATAAATCTATAAATGCGAGGTAGATTTAGGGTCAAGGACAAATGGAAATGCTTTAATATACACATTTCCAATCAGAGGGGACACAATTTAACCCACTGTTTTATTGTGCTGTGCCCTGATGAAAAAGTAAGTTTTTCTTTTCCTATTTTTTTAGATGGAGTCTCGCTCTGTTGCCCAGGCTGGAATGCAGTGGTGCAATCTTGGCTCACTGCAACCTCCGCCTCTCAGGTTCAAGCAATTCTCCTGCCTCAGCATCCTGAGTAGCAGCTGGGATTACAGGTGTGCGTTACCATGCCCGGCTACTTTTTGTATTTTTAGTAGAGACAGGGTTTTGCCATGTTGGCCAGGCTGGTCTCGAACTCCTGACCTCAAGTGATCTGCCCTCCTCAGCCTCCCAAGGTGCTGGGATTACAGGCATAAGCCACTGCTTCCTGTAAGTATATTAACATACCAAACAGTCCAGAAGCAACCATCAGGCAAACGCCACACTTTGCTTACCTGGTGTTATCTATCACTGAGATCACCAGGTGATCCCTGTAGCTGGGATTACAGGTGTGAGCCACCGCCCAAAAAGTAAGATTTTTCTTATCATTTGAGAGGCAGCAGCACATGCTGGATAGATGAATTTACTCGGGAGCCACACAGCCTGTGTTCAAATCTAAGCCTTGGCACTTGCTAACTCTGTCTTCGCTGTACCTCAGTTTCCTTATGTCTAAAGTCAGGCAACAATAGATCCTTCTCATAGGTTGTGGTGAAAATTAAATAAGTACAGTTGGCCTTTCGTATCTGTGGATGCTGCATACATGAATGCATCCAACCTCGGACTGAAAATATTCTGAAAAGAAAATAAAAACAATACAATAATAAAATACAAATTTTAAAACCAATTTAGTATAACAACTATTTATATAGCACTTACATTGTATTAGGTATCATAACTAATCTAGAGATGATTTAAAGTATATGGGAGGATGTGCATAGGTTATATGGAAACACCACCCCATTTTATATCAAGGACTTTGTATACACAATGGAATATTGTATTATAAATATATACATATATGTATGTATGTATATGTGTGATTATATATACATATATGTATATATACATGTGTGGTTTATATATTATATATTACATGATTATTACATATGTATATGTGTGTGTGTATATATATAATCACACACACACACAATGGAATATTATTTTGGCCTTTAAAAAGGAGACCCTACTATTTGTGATAGCGTGAATGAAGCTGGGGGACATTATGCTAAGTAAAATAAGCTAGACATAGAAATAAGAATTACGCATGATTTCACTTACATGTAGAATCTAAAATAGTCAAGCTCATAGAAGCATACAGCTGTCATTACCAGGAGTGGGGAAGGGGGAAACAGGAGAGATGTTGTTCCAAAGTATAAAATTGAAGCTATGAAGGATAAATAAGCCTAGCAATCTAATGTACAGCATGATGCCTATAGTTAATAGTAATATAGTGTACACTGTAAATTTGGTAAGAGAGTAGGTTTCAAGTGCATTCACAAAAAAAATGATAGCTATGTGAATAGATGGATATGTTAATGTGCTTCACTGTAGTGATCATTTCTATCACTTTCTCTTTCCTCTCTCTCTCTCCCCATATATATATTTCATTTTATAAATACTTATCTTTACTTTTTGAAATGTTATAATCAAGAAAACCACTGAGGTAATAATATTAAGATTAAATTGTACATGGTTTGACAAAAACACGTACACATACACCTACTGTTTTTGGAACATGTAAAAAACATATTGCTCATGGGAGAAGAAGCAGTTTGAAATAAATGCCTAGACATAGTAGGTGTGGGTGTACTTGTATGTGTGTGTGTGTCTATGGCTGAAACACAACATTGTATGTGTGTGTGTATTTAGGGCTCAAACTCTATCACGCCAAACACACACTCCCAGGTACAGCTTTCTCTCCATCTCAGAGAGGGACTGGGCTTCCTATCTTGGGGCTTAGAGATCCCAGATAGTGATGAATACATAAGATTACTGATAATGTGTGGAAAATTCCAGAAGCTCTGGCTGATAACCATCAAGCCTAGGTCCCTACTCCCTCCTACCACTCTTGCTGAGTCACCACCTGAGAATTCTAGAGCTGCAATTATGGGCAAAGGGGATCTATCATCATTTTGGTTTTCCTTTCTTAAAAATTAAAGCCCCTAATTTTTTAGATGACCAAACAGATGTTATTCTTTAGAGTCATTCGTGAAACAGTTTGGAGAATATGTTGCCAATTCTTTTTGGAAAATTCCTATGTATATTAAAAGGCTAAGCATAAGCTTCATTTTATGTTCACTCCATATATTTTGTTCATTGATCCATCTCCTTTACTCGCTCTGTCTCTCATCAGTGTTGGCTGACATGTCTTCACTCCAGAGATGGACCCTCCCAGACAGCAGGCCATTCAAGACCCCAAGACTCCACTCCTGTACAGACTTCCCAGACCTTCTCCCACTTCCTCTCTGTCATCTCATCTCCAGGACTCTGGATGTAGCAGCTCAGACCAGTATTGCTGAATCATGCTCTGAGCTCAGAGGAGGCTGTTGCATAGCAACAGTGGCTCAGAGACAAATACAGTCTCTGGAAGGAAGAGCACTACCAGTTAATGCTGGCACTATTAAGAAAGTGGATAAAGATAATCATATCTTCAAAACATCCTCAAAACCAACCCACCTTCTCTCCCTGCCAGAGACACCTCCTACCATGGACCCAGCCTACATTTTCTAGCCCTGTGTGCAAGCACTCTGTGCTCTGAGCAAATGGCACCATTGGCTGAGCCTTCCATTTTCCAATGACCCCAGGGTCTGTCTCATTAACGTGAATAGGGTTATATTTGCAGTTTGTTTTCTGCACACACAGGATAGCAGTCTGTCTTCAGGACCGCCCTATAAAAGGAGTGGTGTCAGTTCCCTTTTTTGAGATGAAGAAACTGTGTCTCCAAGATGGTGAGAACCAAGTCTGCCTTTCCTTTGAAAAGGCAGCTTGCAGTAATTCATGAAAGCACAGAGCTGAGAATCAGCAGGGCTGTGCTCTACCTCCAGCTCATGAAAGCATGTAAAAGTGCTCTAACATCTCAGGCCAGCATCTCACTTAGCCAGAGTTGATGATCCTCATGTACCACTGTATGGTTCCTGCTTTAAGAGACACCTGTTGCCCACCTAGTTATCTCTCCTGCCGTCCTCTCAGCTGAAGTAGGCTGTTCTGTCTCTGTCAGTAGGGTCTTTAAAGTTGCTCTGAGGATTCAATCTTCCCCCACCCTCACCCTACCACCTAGCCTTCTGAGGACAACACTAATGCTGTCCTTACAGTGTCAGAAGTCAGTTTCCAAGGCACACAAACATGGCAGGGACATCCCCTCACAGGAAATTCAGGTGCCTCTTAGGAGGGTAAGTGTGCCACCCCCCTTATTATTAGACATCATGTGCATGCCGGACTAACCTGACTTAGGGCCATGGTTTTCAATCCTCTCTTAAATCAGGATCCCCTCCTCTCAGGGCTTCTCTAGCAGCTGACACCTTCCTAGCATTCCTCCCCACTCGTATTTCCCAGAAAGCACACACCAACACCATCAGAGCCATAAACAGAGTACAAATCTTAGTCCACAGAAAATAATTCAGGGAGTGAAGGAAGTAGAGACAGCCCCAGGAACCCACACTGGTTCCTGGGGCTTCCATCTCCAGCTGATGGCATCTTGTGAAGAATAGAGCATCATCAGTCACTTGCCATTTCGTCATCTCATTCATGACGTTTGGGGTCAGGGATAAAAATCAGCATTCTATTTTCAGATAATAAGCTATTTTGTATCCTCTCATTTTATCAGCAGGTTAACATCATAGAAGCATGCCATATTTTCATGTTGGGCTCTTGAAACAGGAGACACCACAGAGGAACAAGAGCTGTGAATCTCTGAGTTAACAATTATCTGAGAGAGCTCTTTCAATGGGCAGGACTAAGGAAATGAGTGATCAGAGTGGCAGTAAAGGCAAAAGCTGGTCATACCTGGCACAGACGGAATGAAGGGGAAATGAGCTTTCACATAACACTTCAGATGTCAAATGGAATATCTACTTTCTGAGGCCCATATTACTATGGCTTAATCACTTGAATGGACTTTAATATATAAGTCCTATTTCCAACAACAAGTGAGTTTCTGCTAAAGGTTTAGAAAAGGCTCTCCAAGCTAATTCTCATGTACATGCAAGTGAAGGAGGCCTACCTGAGGGGTCAGGTTAGGAGCCACATTAGTTTTCTGATCCAGAAAGAAAAGGCAACTAATATTGATGGAGCACATTGTTTATAGGGTCCAGCTCCATGTTCTTGACTTTAGTGACTGAAATTAATTCTCATGACAACCCTACTAGTGAGGTACGATTATGCTCTCTTCATGGATGTATATGACTACAATGCACCTGCTCCTAAGCACAGAGCTGGATGGCAAAGAGTTTGCTCACCACACAAACTCATGGAGCCAGGGATAGAATCAAGCAGCCTGGGCAATGGTACAAAAATGGTCAGGATTCATAATATCTAAACAGTCCCAAAGTCACGTTATTAGAGAAATCTCAGAAACACTATTTTCAGAGGGGAAGAAGGTGCAAAGGGACACTTACTCTATGATAGCACAAACATTTATAGCCAAAAATGTACAATTACATATTTTGCATAATTCTCTCACAAGTCTTTGAGGAAGGCATCATTATTTCTAGTTTACAGATGACCAACTAAGACTCACTGATAGAAAATCAATTTTGCAGAGGCATCTAGTAATGATCAGGAGTGGGGATGTAACTCTTACTCTCCTCAAAGGACAACACATGGTCTCCTTTTATAAAGAATGACCTTCTAGGACTTAAACACCTGTAGTTTTTTATGTTGCTAGGATTGTGCCCTTATGTGTACTCACTCAACAACGTCTCTCTCTTTGAAGAAGCTGATGGTGCAGATGAAATCCCAGCACAAGGTCCTGTAAGCAGTAATGTGTCTGGTATGAGGGTCAAGGGCTTGTGACTCCTGCCTCTTCTTAATCTGCACTCTCTCTTCATTTGAGACTCAATGGGAAACTGCTTTTCCAATATCTATCTAGAAGACCAAAGAATGGGGAAGAAAATGACAAATCTTCTCACCTCACCCCAATGCCTTAACAAACCATCCTGCAACACAGAAATGGCCCCAAAGCTTCATGTATAATGTAAGTGTGAGCACATGCTCCATCTTCCTGCTCCACTTTCAGATGGTTTCTGTAGCAGTTATGCTGCTTGGTTTAGATAACAGTCATCACTTCTCTGGCAGGGAGAAGAAAGGTGGGCCTGGATGACCATTTGTTGAAATCCTACTAGGTGCCATATACTCTGTGTGGTATTTCTCATTTATCCCCACAGAACAGTTTTTCTAAGAAAGGCATCATGAGTTCCCTTTCACAGATAAGCAAGGGCAGGCCGACAGAGGCTGAAAAGGATTCCAGTGTCACACATCAAATAAGGGGCAGGAATGTGGTTCCAGCTTTAGCTTTCATAACATTATTTTGTGTTCCCAAGAGGGGTGATATTACCAGTAAGGGGCTGAAAATAGATTTTTGAGGACAGAGGGATGATAGACTTTGGAATAATTTTTGGTACCACAAAGGTCCATAGTACATAACAAGTTAACATTTCGTCTGTGGTAATAAAATTTCATTATCTGGGCAGAAAGTAGTTGATAAGGAAAATATGTCTAAAAACCACCCTAAGGGAGGTGATACTGAAAGAAGATTGAGAAATGTTTTATATACCCAGTGACCTCTCCTACCAAGACTTAGGGACTAGTCATTTTATATTCCCGCATAGATGCTCACCAAATAATCCTGTTGTTGATGATGATAATAGCGGGAGAAGTGAAATCATCCCCCTAGGACCAGGAGACCTTGGTTTGAGCACTATGTGAATTGACTGTTTTGTTGTTGTTTTGAGACGGAGTCTCACTCTGTCGCCTAGGCTGGAGTTTAGTGGTGTGATTTCGGCTCACTGCAACCTCTGCCTCCCAGGTTCAAGAGATCCTTCTGCCTCAGCCTCCCAAGTAGCAGGAATTACAGGCACCTGCCACCACACCCGGCTAATTTTTGTATTTTTAGTAGAGACAGGGTTTCACTATGTTGGCTAAGCTGGTCTCAAACTCCTGACCTCAAGTGATCCACCCACCTCGGCCTCCCAAAGTGCTGGGATTACAGGAGTGAGCCACTGTGCCTGTCCCATAGTTTATTTCAGAGTATAGAAATTAGGAGAGGTTAAATAAATCAGGGAAACAACTTTGAATGGCTGATCAAATTCCGGGCTGACCCGGAATTTCTCTCAAGCTTTTACTACTGCACCTTGAAGCTGAGAGGTGACAACGTGCTAGCAACCCTTGCTCTCAGCACCTCCTTGGCCTCGGGGTCCACTCTGGCTGTGCTTAAGGAGCCCTTCAGCCCACCACTGCACTGTGGGAGCCCCTCTCTGGGCTGGCTGAGGCCGGAGCCGGCTCCTCTGCTTGTGAGGTATGGAGGGAGAGGCGCTGCAGGTGGAAACTGGGACTGTGAGCGGTGCTCTGGGGCCAGCACAAGTTCCTGGTGGGCGCGGGCTCTGCAGGCTCCACACTTGGAGCGGCTGGCCTGCGCCGTCGCCCTGGGCAGTGAGGGGTTTGGCACCTGGGCCAGCAGCTGTGGAGGGTGCACCGGGTCCCCCAGTACTGCCAGCCCGCCTGTGCCCTGCTCAAATTCTCCCTAGGCCTCAGCCGCCTCCCAGGGGCAGGGTTCCAGACTTGCAGCTTGCTATGCCCTCCCCGGCCCTTCCCCTCAGTGGGCTGCAGCTCACCAGAGCCTCCCCGACGGGTGCCACCCCCTGCTCCCTGGCCCCAGGTATCTTCCACCGTCCAAGGGCTGAGGAGGGCGGGCACATAGCCGGGAATGAGAGGCAGCTCCATCGGAAGCCCCACGTGGCAACCACTAGGCAAAACCAGCTGGGCTCCTGAGTAGGGTGGGGACTTGGAGAACTTTTATGTCTAGTTAGAGGATTGTAAACACACCAATCAGCACTCCATGTCTAGCTCAAGGTTTGTAAATGCACCAATCAGTGCTCTGTATCTAGCTAATCTAGTGGGGACCTGGAGAACTTTTCTGTCTAGCACTCTGTGTCTAGCTAAAGGTTTGTAAACACACCAATCAGCACCCTATCAAAACGGACCAATCAGCTCTCTGTAAAACAGACCAATCAGCTGTCTGTAAAATGGAACAATCAGCAGGATGTGGATGGGGCCAGATAAGGGAATAAAAGCAGGGTGCCTGAGCCAGCAGTGGAAACCTGCTGGGGTCCCCTTCCAGACTGTGGAAGCTTTGTTCTTTCACTCTTTACAATAAATCTTGCTGCTTTTCACTCTGGGTCCATGCCATCTTTATGAGCTATAACACTAACTGCAAAGGTCTGCAGTTTCCCTCTTGAAGCCAGCCAGACCACGAACCCACCCGGTAGAACAACCAACCACCTTTAAGAGCTGTAACACTCCCCGCGAAGTTCTGCAGCAGCTTCACTCCTGAAGTCAGTGAGACCATGAGCCCACCAGAAGGAAGAAACTGCAGACACATCTGAATATCTGAAGGAACAAACTCCAGACACACTATCTTTAAGAACTTAACACTCACCGTGAGGGTCTGCGGCTTCATTCTTGAGGTCAGCAAGACCAAGAACCCACCAATTCCGGACACAAAGCCACCAGGGCCCTGGTTGCCCTAATCTTTTTTGGTACTGATATTTGAGGCTTCCCAAGCCATTGCTTTTTTTTGTTTTTAATAGTGAGCTGTAGTAGTTTTAAATTATAATGTTGAAAATTTAAAAACATTATGAGTGGCATATTTCTTATTCTTGTTGCTCCCATTGGAGACTCTGGGGACCATAGGGAAACAGTGGTTGTCAGGATAGGGTTCAACAGGTTTCCACAGGCTGGAAAATGTTGGAAACACACAGCCCTGTGTGTACTACAATTCCAGTAGACCAACCTTCTACAGTTCTGAAATATAGCGGGTCCTGAAATGTTGTCATTTTGTTCCCAATGTTTTATTTTAACACTGAACAGGGGAAAAACTGGATTTCTGGCCGGGGCTGATATCTGTGTGAAGTTTGCACATTCTCCCCATGTTTGCTTAGGTTTTCTCTGGGTAGTCCAGTTTCCTCTCACATCACAAAGATCTGCAGGTTAGGTGAACTGGCGTGTCTAAATGGTCCCAGTGTGAGTGAACGTGGGTGTGTGTATGTGCACCCTGTGATGCAATGATATCATGTCCAGAGCTGGTTCCTGCCTTGCACCCTGAACTTTGAAGATAGGTTTTAGCAACCGGTGACCCTGAACTGGAATAACTGGGTAGATAATTATCTTGTTCTTATTAATCTTTCTTAAATGCAGATGTATTAGTTCTCACACTGCTATAAAGAAATACTTGAGACTGGGTGATTTACAAAGAAAAGAGGTTTCAGTGGCTCACAGTTCTGCAGGCTATACAGGAAGCAAGATGGCATCTGCTTCTGGGGAGGCTTCAGGAAGCTTTTACTCGTGGTGGAAGGTAAAGCAGGAGCAGGCGTCTTACGTTGCAGGAGCAGGACCAATGGGAACGGAGGAGGTACTGCACACTTAAATGACCAGATCTTAAGAGAACTCACTCACTACCACTAGAATAGCACCAAGGGGGAAATTTGCCCCCATGATCCAATAACTTCCCAACAGGTCCCACCTCCAACATTGAGGATTGCAGTTGGACACGCGATTTGGGCAAGGACATGGATCCAAACCATATCAGTAGGTATAGCTCACATTTATTTCAGTGTTTAATATTAGAAGTGTTTTGATCTTTACTTAAACATTTGGTGATGCTTTTATAAACAGATTGTTATAAAAGCAAAAACTTAACTTTTGTTTATATCAATTAACTTGTGGTAAAAGGAGTTTCATTATACATCGTTTCACTTGAAGTTGCCATTTCCAAGAACCTATGGACAAAAAGTGAGGATTTACTGTAGTCTCAATTTTCATCCCTATCGTAAACCATTGTCAGAGAGCATTGGAGTATTATAAGAGCCTCTAGGGTTTGAGTCATGGAAACAGAACCATTGTCCGCCGATGAGAAGAAAGATAGATGAGGGCTATGGAGAACTTGAGACTGCTTGTGGGTGGGTAATATCTTATGGACTGTGGGAATCATTGAGTAGTAGTGGATCTCCCTCTTTGCCTATGATCAAAATCCTTGGTAGAACCGTAGAGTTGTGACAACAGAGAATATGAGTATGTGAAGCTGTTTCCCTCTTCCCTGTCCCTGATTCCTTTTCCCCTTACACCTTTCTCTTCCTCGAAACTCATCCCATGCCAGAGAACTGAAGTGAGCAATCTGTAAGGACAGCCATTCTATGTCTAAGTCTATGTGCACATGGTTAACCACTTCCTTAGGAAACACTACTAGAGGAATGATTGCAGGCTTAAAGGGTGTGCCCTCTTTCAAATATCTTTTCATGTTTATTGACAATATAATAATACCCAGAAAGTTTTGACAATTGCTATTCTCTGATTGGGATGATTGTTTCCAGTGCTGAGCCACGGAAAAGCATGGCCCTCCTGAGATTGGCACACAAGTGAGTGAACTGACTCTGGTGCAGAAGTGAGGAGTAGACAGGAACTTTACTCAGTATGAGGGTAACAGCACGGAAGGAAGAGCATAGGACTGGGAGTCAACAGGCCTGGGTTCCAGTTCAAATTTTACCAACTGTATGTGAAAACATATCAAGGGTTTTTCTCTGAAGACACCAGCCATTCCTGTGTGGCAGTCCCAGACCAGCATCATATTAGCCAGCCTTGATCCAAATTTCCATCAAACCAATATAGGGCCCCTGCCATGTAAGAGACAGTGAGGGTCCTTACCTCCTGTGTCATTTATACTTGGCCTCCTGAGGGTAGAGAGCTACTCTTACTGAGCAGTGGTTTTTACTTCCCTCTGAAGAAGGTACTCTTCAGAGCTTCAGTTGGCCCCTGGGGGAAATCTCTGAATAATCTCAGAAAAGTCTACAGCCATACCACCCTGAATGCACCCA